CACTTGATTAATTTTTACCACCTGATGCACCAGGTTTCTGGGCATGGCCGCCAATGTCGCTCAAGGGAATCCTTTCTGCAGCCCATTTCCATTCTTTTCCCTGAAGATCACTTAACTTTCTTTGAGAACTGTGAATCAAGTCTTGAAATAATGAATCGAACACTAATTTAGGTTGAAAATTGATTGCTTGGACTAACAAGACTGAAACCAAGGTCGGCAACCCATCACTTTTCTTCCTCCTTTTTTCATTCACTGAAGATTTCCACACTTGACCTCATTAATCAATTTGTTTTCTGGACTTTTTATTGAATTTTCTCCTAATTTGGCTTCAGTTTGAACGACCAATCCTCTGCTTGATTGACTTGAAAATGCTCCAAATTTGATGCAAGATCCAAATTGGTGTACTTTTACATGATTCTAAAGAAATGTTCAACTTGATTGAAAATGGAAAAATAATTGATTCGCCCTGGTTCTAAAAGAAACTGAGATATGCCAATATTTGCTTTGAATTTGTAGACGTAAAAATGCTAATTTGCCAAACTCAGCCGAAGTGCAGAGGGGCATCAGGTGTTCTAAAGGTGCGGGCACATGAGCGACTTTTGTCCCTAATTAGACTACTGGCAGGGACAAAAATCTCCAGTCGTTTTCCACCATGTCGATAATCAAGTGCAGCATGCGATTGAAAGAAAAATGAATCTGATTGGATGATGACGGTCTGTCTTGCAGACGATAGCGCTATAGGTTCAAATCATCTTCAGCCACCAGAATTGTAATAATTGTTGATTTGACTTGACCAAAGTTTGACCTAAGTCAAATATATCATTAACCTAATCCATTTAGATATTCAGAGACCTGAAAAGTCAGCGCCATAGGCTCAAATCTTTTTCTCACAGAAAGTGCTTTTAAATCCATTATTTAAATGCCATTGTTTGCCATTTTGGGTTGTTGATTTGAGTCTTGAATATATGTAAATAGACTTCAGAAGTACTAGAACTGCACAAAAATCACTTAATCCCTTCAAATATATCTCGAACTAGAAGTTTGACCTAACCATGGCATTAAACTAATCCATTAAAATTTCCAGAAGACCTTAAAAGTCGGTGCTCGGTCTTCATTAAACCACATGGTTCAGAAAAAGTAGGACGTAAAACTCTATTCATTTCATTTTTAAAAGTTGGCACTGTAGGTTCATATCTGTTGGATTGACAGCAGTCAAGAGTTCGACCTGACCGATGTCCAGGGTATCATTACATTAATCCATTTTGATCTTGCAAAGACCTTCAAAGTATCCGGGAGTCTGGACAGAGCTTAATGTTGAAATTCTACAGACTAATCTCCCACCATTTTTATTTTTTCACAAGAAAATCCTTCAGACTTTTAATGGAATGAAAAACTTTAACTTTTCTTTATGTCTATGTCTTGGCTTTTAGAAGTCTTATAACCTCTTGAGTTAAGTGATTGATTGAATGAATTAATGGAAGAATGAATGAATGAATGAATGTTTAAATTTTTCCTTTGACTCTTAACCTTAAGAGTTATGTAACTAAAGAAAATTCACAGAAGGAATGAATGAATGAATGGATGAGGAAAGAAAGATTGAAAGAATGAATGAATGAATGAATGAATGAGTTAAGGAAGAATGAATGAATTAAGGAAGAATGAATGAATTAAGGAAGAATGAATGAATTAATGAAAAACATATCTACTTGACAAATGAATGAATGAATGCATTAATGTATGCATTTTTTCTGTGCTTCTCGCTTTGGTCTGAAAATGAATGAGTGAATTAATGAAAGAAAAAATGAACTGGATGAATGAATGAAAAATATGGACTGGAAGAATGAATGAATGAAAGAAGGAATGAAAATCATGTACTTGTAAAAATGAACGGAAAAACTATGTACTGAATGAATGAATTAAAAAAATGTAATAGAGAAATGACATGTACAGGAGGGATGAAGAAATTAAAAAAGTTTTATTAGATGAATGAAAAAGAAATCAGAAGAAGTGAAAGATACAACTAAAGGAATGAATGAATGAAAACAAGTGATCAATGACTAAATAAGTTCATTCTTTCTTCTCTCAATCCATTCCAAATTAACATCTAGCGAGGACAAAAAGAAATGATAAATTGCATTGCTTAGATGTAACACAACAATTATAAGTTCAATAATTCAATAAGACCTCCATGATTGATTACGCAGCAGCAAATTTTTCTGCGGAGCTGACAATATTTTTTGCGATTCTTGACAAATTAAACATCACCAACGCTGGGTTTTTCTGAATACAAAAATGGTGAAAATTTAATTTGACCAATGCTGGAGAATTTCTTTGAGAAATTGATTGGATTCATGAGTTTCTTTAATGCTTTGACAATAGTTTGCTTCTCTCTTTGCCTCGAATGGATTAGTATAAATCATTGATGGTGGTTGCTTTGTTTTTTACCATTGGGAAACAATCTTCTGTATAGAAATTTGTATTTTTATAATCCAATCAGATAGCTGCTTTTACAAACTTCCATGATGCCTAAAAAGTGCATGATGATATATAAAATGTTTCTGGCCATCTTCAAAATGTCCAGCTGTGTCTAATACCTTGACTACAATAACCACTTTTCTTGTATCATAGAATGCTACCATTAAATTTGATTGTACGCAAGTGTATACAGCCAATCAGAGCCCCTGACAGATGTTTATCATAAAATTCAACCGAATCCTTGCATTTCCATGATACAAGAAAGGTGGCTAATGCAGTCAAGGTATAAGACAAAGTTCGTAATAGTTTGACATTGTGAAGACAGTTTCTGATATCTTAAATCAGTATTGTTTTTATTATGTCAAACAGTGTTTCTAATGATGTTTTTTCATTATGTTTGTGGTATGTTAAATAATATTCCCTCTTTAATCTGTATGTTTTTAATTATGTTTTTTTGTTATATTTGTGGTATGTTAAATGATATTGCCTCTTTAAACAGTATGTTTCCTGTGATGTTTTTTATTATGTTTGTGGTATGTTAAATGGTATTGCATCTTTAAACAGTATGTTTCCTGTGATGTTTTTTATTATGTTTGTGGTATGTTAAATGGTATTGCATCTTTAAACAGTATGTTTCCTGTGATTATGTTTGTGGTATGTTAAATGGTATTGCATCTTTAATCTGTAAGTTTTTAATGATGTTTTTTATTATGTTTGTGGTATGTTAAATGATATTGCCTCTTTAAACAGTATGTTTCCTGTGATGTTTTTTTATTATATTTGTGGTATGTTAAATGATATTGCCTCTTTAAACAGTATGTTTCCTGTGATGTTTTTTATTATATTTGTGGTATGTTAAATGATATTGCCTCTTTAAACAGTATGTTTCCTGTGATGTTTTTTATTATGTTTGATGTTTAGCATCTTGTTATGGTTTTATATTACTTGATGCTTAAAGGTAATGCCAAACCTAATTTCTTGATGTTTTTATAACTGGTTTGTTCTATATTTGATATCTGGAATAGCTCAGTAGGTAGCGAGTTGGTTGTCGCCTGCTTGGCCGTGGGTCCAAATCATCCTCGAGGTAAAGGAACAATTCTGATGCTGATAGTTGGCTCATTGTTGGCTGTCTTTAAAGCCAAAACTCAGTTACATTGAAATCAGGCAATTCTGTAGGTATCAGAAAAATTTTGACTTTGGTTGCCAAATTGCCAAGATCTTATAGAATTCTACCTACTGACTAGATAAAAAAATGTCCAGAAGTGGCGAATTTTGAAATCCTGCAATTCTGTTCGTATTAGGAAGTTTTAGTTTGGTGCCAAAGACTTCTGATTTCCAGAATTTGGATTGTTTGATCTTATAGATTTCTAACAAAAAGGAATTTGAGAATTCAAATCTTTGGAATATTGAAATTCTGCGATTCTGTAGATATCAGGAAATTTGAGTTTGGTGCCAAAGACTTCTTATTTCCAGAATTTCAAATTGCCAAGATATTATAAATATCTACCTACTGACACGTCTATTATCAACAATGAGTCAGTTAATTTTAACTTTGATAAATAAAGTTTCTATATTATCACAGGTGATAGGTAGTTTACACTTTATATTACCCTGGCATTGTCTTAGTTAAAGATGCTCTCCCTCCAGTTTAGAACAGTAAGCTAGCATTGTCCTTATTAAAGATGCTCTCCCAGTTTGAAAAAGTCAGCTAGCATTGTCTTAATTAAAGATGCTCATTGTGATTATCTATATTTTTTCTTTGCATTCTTCTTTTAACTATCCATGATTTTCTTTTGACCATCCATGATTTCCGTTTGACTATCCATGATTTTCATTTGACTATCCATGATTTTCATTTGACTATCCATGATTTCCATTTGACTATCCATGATTTCCATTTGACTATCCATGATTTCCATTTGACTATCCATGATTTCCTTTTGACTATCCAAGTTCTTTTAACTATCCCTGATTTTCTTTTAACTATCCATGATTTCCTTTTGACCATCCATGATTTCCATTTAACTATCCATGATTTCCTTTTGACTATCCAAGTTCTTTTAACTATCCCTGATTTTCTTTTAACTATCCATGATTTTCTTTTGACCATCCATGATTTCCGTTTGACTATCCATGATTTTCATTTGACTATCCATGATTTTCATTTGACTATCCATGATTTTCATTTAACTATCCATGATTTTCATTTGACTATCCATGATTTCCATTTGACTATCCATGATTTCCATTTGACTATCCATGATTTCCTTTTGACTATCCAAGTTCTTTTAACTATCCATGATTTTCTTTTAACTATCCATGATTTCCTTTTGACCATCCATGATTTCCGTTTGACTATCCATGATTTTCATTTGACTATCCATGATTTCCATTTGACTATCCATGATTTCCATTTGACTATCCATGATTTCCTTTTGACTATCCAAGTTCTTTTAACTATCCATGATTTCCTTTTAAATATCCATGATTTCCATTTGACTATCCATGATTTTCCATTTAACTATCTATGATTTCCATTTGACAATCCAAGTTCTTTTAACTATCCATGATTTCCTTTTAACTATCCATGATTTCCATTTGACAATCCAAGTTCTTTTAACTATCCATGATTTCCTTTTGACCATCCATGATTTCCTTTTGACCATCCATGATTTCCTTTTGACTATCCATGATTTCCATTTAACTATCCATGATTTCCATTTGACCATCCATGATTTTCTTTTGACTATCCATGATTTCCATTTAACTATCCATGATTTCCTTTTGACCATCCATGATTTCCTTTTAAATATCCATGATTTCCATTTAACTATCCATGATTTCCATTTGACCATCCATGATTTTCTTTTGACTATCCAAGTTCTTTTAACTATCCATGATTTCCTTTTAACTATCCATGATTTCCTTTTAAATATCCATGATTTCCATTTGACTATCCATGATTTCCATTTAACTATCTATGATTTCCATTTGACTTTCCATGATTTCCATTTGACAATCCAAGTTCTTTTAACTATCCATGATTTCCTTTTAACTATCCATGATTTCCATTTGACAATCCAAGTTCTTTTAACTATCCCTGATTTCCTTTTGACTATCCAAGTTCTTTTAACTATCCATGATTTTTCATTATAACTCTGCTGGCTTCTTCATGAGTAGAAACCTGAAGTAGTATCTTTAAAATGAAGTAATTTATTTTGGCAGGGTTTGTAAGTGTAAGGTATCTATTTCTGACAAAATGTACTTGATAAAACCTACTCTACACTCCTCTACTACATTTACTCTCTCAAATCTTCTCAAACAGTTCAACATGCAGTTCATTGTTTGACGTCTGCCGGCTTTGTGTTTTTTCGTTTGGAACTAAAACTGATTCTTAAACATGGATATGGATTTTAATTTTGCGTCCAAGGTAATTAAGAAAAGTCTGACTATGGTCAATGGGTGAAAATAGTTTTTTTGTGTTAGTTTTGGGTTACAACTGATTATGAAATATGGACATGGATTTTGATTTTGCAGCGAAGGTAATTTTGTATAAGGCCTAGGCTTAAGCAGAAAAGTTTGGAATTTTTGGCTGTCTTTTTACAATCATAGGTCTTGTTATAAAAGTTTGGTGCCATTAAGTCTGACTTTGGTAGATTTATTTCTAGAACAGTAGAACATGCATTTTATTTGTAAGTCTGCCTCTGTGTAATTTGAAACATGGAAAAAGTAGCTAGTCGTTCGGTGGGACAATAAACCAAGGCCCCGTGTGCTACAGGCTGTGCACGTTAAAGATCCCTCGACAGTTGGAAATTGAAAAAGCTAATGCTGTTGTTTTGGCTAAATTTCCCTCATTGAACTCTGCATGGTGTTGCCCATCTTCATTTGCCTACATGGTGCAGAAAAGTAGGACGTAAAACTCCATTAATGAAAGGTTTAGATTTGGGCTTTTAAGTTTGCTTAGTGCCATTGAGAGGTTTTGTAAAATGGCATCTTCTTTCTATCTAGGCTTGAAGTATTGAAATTATTCAGGGAAGAAATGGATTTTAATTTCGTTTTATGGATTTAAGGATTTTTCCCAAAATCTGCAATTTGTCAATTTATTGTTTACATTTGCCGAGAGATTTAAGAATCCAAGATGGCCGTAATTAATTTAATGTTAAACATTATATTATGGAGGTTAAGATAATATTTACAATATGTTATATCTCAGTAGGCATCTGGTCTGTGTGGTTCCTGAAATATACCAGGAATCTGTCAGAGTCAAAGACCTTTTGTCAGGAATATCATAACTTTCAGATATTCTAAAATGCTGTTCTAAGATCTCTGATTGGTTGAAGATAATGCAGTGACAATATCAACCAATCAAGGCTCAATGAGCTACAGAATCGCTACTGTAAGGCTACAGGCCTATCTTATGGACTTCATTTTGCAAATCCAGGCCATATGCAGTGAATGTCTTTTCACCAATCTAAGTCTAAATGCATTTTGTTTGCCTATGGCTATTGCAAAGGACTTCACTTTGTTTGCCTAAGGCTACATGCAATAGACTTCATTTTGCAATGCCATGCTTCACTTGACCAAAGCAATTTTGTTTACTTTTGGTTCCATGTAGCCAAGATTTGTTCGTTAACTACTTGCAAAGGACTTCATTTCAAGGCTAGATGTATTTGGACTTCATTTTACCTTTTTACTTCACCAAGCCAGTTTGTTTACAGATGTTTACATGTAGCCATGATTTGTTTGTTTACAAATGATTGGTTACAGACTTACAAAATGGCAGCTGAGAAATATGTACTGTAAATGAACCAAAACGGTAAAAGAAACCAGATGTTAACTATTACTACCTTGTCCATTAATATAGCTAAAGCTACCTGTGGCGGTGGCGGCAGGGGATACAGGGGGAGCATTTGCCCCTCAGAGTGTAACCCAACTGCAACTGCACCCACTCATTTCTCAGAAATTTCAGAGTAATGATTTCTTAACATTTATGTTTTCCAAAATAATTTCTAGACCTCAAAAGACGTTTTGTTGCCTGCTTGCGGCTTTGCGCTTATATTTTCACAGCTTTTCCATAATTGAAACCTCAATTAACATTAATTCAGGCCGCCTACTATTTGTTTCCCAAGTTTCAGAAGGCTGTTGCCTCCATTTGCTACCAGATTTCCCATCATGCATTCTACCTGCAGAAATTAAAACCATTCAGGGTGAACATCATTATTTTATAATTGTCAACAGATCTGACAGTTGGCAAATCATGTAGCAGGGCTCTGGCAGAATTCTCAGATAATAGGTTTTTGATGATAATGGGGTTGGAAATTATCTTTTTTTATTGCATTATTCAGATTCATCAGTATATTTGTGTGCAGCAGATATACCCAATAAATAATATTACCTATGTGGACTCTCATAAAGGGAGGGGCACATGTTAGGTTTCTCTAGGCCATGTCATAAAGAATGTTCTAGTGTTATCTTCAGAAATTTGGAACTATGGTCAGTTGATCACTAAGAAGCTGATGTATTCTGTCCAGTGGGATGAGAGTTTTGAGAGATGGATGTTAGGTTTCTCTGATAATATTCTAGTGTATAACTATGGTCAGTTGATCACTAAGAAGCTGATGTATTCTGTCCAGTGGGATGAGAGTTTTGAGAGATGGATGTTAGATTTCTCTGGTAATATTCTAGTGTATAACTATGGTCAGTTGATCACTAAGAAGCTGATGTATTCTGTCCAGTGGGATGAGAGTTTTGAGAGATGGATGTTAGGTTTCTCTGATAATATTCTTGTGTATAACAATGTGTTGATGGTATATAATAATCGTGAGAAACTACTATTAACATTCTCTATAACATGACAGGAATTTTGATGTATTTTTCATTTGCCTTTCTCTAATAATACACTTGTATTGCCTTAAAGGGGCTGTGCTTTCTAACCTGAAGATCCAGGGTTCAATCCTGGCATACGTCAAGATGATACCTTCGGATTTTTCAACCCTTTTTCCCCCTGTCAGTGATGCAGGTAAGAGGGGCTGATATGGTAAAAGCGTCTAGTCGCTCGGATGGGACAATAAACCGAGGCCCCGTGTGCTACAGGCTGTGCACATAAAGATCCCTCACCAGTTGGAAATCTAAAAAGAGTAGGTTACTGTTGCTATCCTGACAAAATTTCCATCATTGCACACTGCATGGCATTAGCCTGAACAAGTGCAGAACTGTAGGATGTAAGATTCAAATTCTTGAATCAGAGAAATTCAGGTGCTTCTTTTTCCTTTTTGGAACATCAGTTAAAGAATTCTAAACTTCCATGTTAAGGTCACAATGGCCTTGACCAAGTTCCATGACATTTTGTAACGACCCACAAAGTCCTGACATTATTTCAGGCAGCTCGGCACCATCTGTTTCAAAGAGAGTGCAGACATATTTACTCATGGCATAAACATAACTGAAATTCTACAGGAATTTTATCAAAATACAAGAATCTTAATAGATTTTTTAAAGGAGAATTTCTTTGTTCTTTGGTTCTTGAGTTTCAGTCAGAACATTTTTCAAAAAGTCAATGAAAAGGCAATTTTTCAACAATTTAGTGAATTCTGTATCTTAAAGGGATTGTAAAAAGGTTTTCTGAATTTTTCATGTGTATCAGCGACACTGATAACATCAATTTGCATCATTCCAATTTTCAATCATATGTCTTCGGTTCCTGCAATTCCACTGAAACTTAGTGTTTGATGACGTCACTAATTGCAAAATATACTTATATCATATAAGACCTTTGTGATTAGTGACGTCATCTTTACAATTCCTTTAAAGCCATTTTTGATTTGAAAATTAAGTAATGCTTAGTTGACAGTTTCAGTCGTACACTGTTATCATGTGTGCCAGATAATCACATTGGCCACTAAAATTCCATTTTTCAGGCTTATGGTTTCTGTTCATCAAAAAAATTAAGAATTTTTTCTAAATTTTTTATGTGTATCAGGGACACTGATAGAATCAATTTGCACCATTCTAATTTTCAATCAGAAGTCTGTGAGGCTTGGAATGGTGCATATGGATGACATCAGTGTCCTCTATACACATAAACAAATTTTATAAACCTCTTTACAATGCCTTTAAGTATAGAATTAAATGTAAAAATTCTTTGTGAAATGAGACCTAACTATGCACTTACAAACAAACATAAGGTGGAAGCCATTTTTAATTTGAAAACTTTCCCGGCTTCCTTGTATCTTAGTCACGTCAACGAAGATCAAATTCAGACGATCTTTTAAATTAATTTTGTGTTGTAACATCGTTTTAAAAACACAATTGAAAAACCAGAAGTTTAAATTTCAGCATTTTTTTTTAAAACTGTGTCTGCTGGTTAAATTATCTTGTAAACAAATGACACAACCAGATCTACCTTCAAAGCTGAAGAGTAGATAGAAACAGTAACACGATAATTTGTCGCTGCTGGCAACGTCTGCTAATTATACGTGGTAATTTTCTCATGGAAATTAACTCATTGAGTAAGTTATAGTCATCTCTCAAGTAAATGCTGAGCCCAGTCAAAATTGATACCAACTTTTTAAATATGAAAAGAAAAATTCTTCATTACAAATGAAATGTTTTCTTGAAATAATGGGGAGAGTCATTGTGGTTCAGTGAGTTAGATACTGGCTTGCTTATCTAAAGGTCCAGTGTTGAACCCAACCTGATTTCCCCTTGTCAGAGATTGAGGTCTGACGGGCTGACATAGTAAAAGCGTCTAGTTGTTCGGATGGGACAATAAACCGAGGCCCAGTGTGCTACAATCTGTGCACGTTAAAGATCCCTCGACAGTTGGAAATCGAAAAAGAAAAGGCAAATGCTGCTGAAGCCAGAAATAGTTGACAATTTCTCTGATAGTTTCATAAAGCCTTTCAGTCTCCCAAAATGAAGAGCAGAAAGATACAAAAACACCATTTCATTTCATCTTAAATTCTAACATACTTCAACCTACATATTTTTAACCATGTACTTTCTGGTTTCCGTTAACTCTCTTGTCCTGAAGTCAAATAAGGTCAGGAGCACGCTGAACAATCATCTGGTCTACTTATAATGTTTTCTCCAATAACTGAAGATGTTTCTCTGGTCTACAACCTACTTCAGGGAATATTTCAGTTTTTGCCGTCTCTTGATGAAAACTTGCGAGTTTGTACATTTTTTTTGTCATATGTTGATTTCTGAAATCGAATTAGTTGAGAGTTGAGTGAAGGGGCTGTTGTCAAGAAAAGTTTCTGGGGTTTTTTTTCGTCTCTCAAAAAATTGCGAGTTAGGCATATTTTCATTTTCACGTTATGAAACAGTCTTGATGATTGATATTTGTTTTTTTTTTTTTTTATTGACCAAAAGCAAATTTTTCAGAGCAGACGTGTCAATTTGCTATGTCCATATTAGGAAAAAGTGTGCCACATATACTTAATGAACCAATCAGCTGGCTGGAATTTGATGTAATCACCCTTCATTAGCTGATTTTTTTCTTTGATCAGGAATTCTGGGATGTTCTTGATAACTTTATGTACTAGATAGCTAGGTGTTTTAAGTGTGAACACTAATGATGTTGTTGGATGTCATACATACTTGACCAGAAAAACATTCCTGCATGTCAATACTATTGTTTAGAAGTGTCCAGGATGGCTAATTGTTCTTTGTTAATTTGTTCAATATATCTTGGACCAAGAGTGTTGCTGTTAAAGATTGGTTTCCTTATTTTTTAAGTGTCAAATTAAGCAAACTATTTGATTAATTGGTGTTTCTAATGAATTATCATGTATTCTTTATCATATCATTATGTTCTTATTGCATATAATTTAGAGTTTTAACCAATCATATATGTCCATATATGTACAGTCTGGATAAACAAAAAAAGACTTTTTGACATTTCTTGATCCATCACTCATTGGAATTCTGCTGGTAATTCTCTTTTAATTTAGCTAATTATTAATTAATTATGGACATGTTAGACAAACTGGTATTTTTCAAAGTCATTAGAACACCTCTACTTTCTATTCATATAATTTATTAGCATTTTCATTTTTATAAATAAAGGGAACCCATCTTTAAGTGAAGATGTTATTAAATTGGACCAGAAAAACATTTTCGTTGTGTGTGTTCCTACAATTCGATGGTAGCTGTCATCGTTTCGTTTACCTGTAATTCACATCAAGCTCTAGATGTCATGGTGATTTAGGCATCAAATGAGGTTTGAGTTGATTCCTGGAAGTTCGGAAAACTTTTAGACAATTTAGTTATGAATTTTGCACGTTCCAAAACACCAGTTGCCACTTATTTTGAGGGTTTCAAGTTGATTTTATCTGGATTCTCTTATGATTGGAGATGGCTTGCTAGTAGGGTAAGGATTCTGGTTGGTGGATGATAGTAAGGATGTCTGAATAGTGAAAGTCAATAACTTTGACTAGTTTAGTCTTAGGTTTACTATTTTCAAATTGTAGTGAGAACAGTTTCTTAAGATGGTTCACAAGTTCGAATGAAAAATTACACCCTCTAAGTTGGCTAACTGTTATTACCTTAAGTCAAAGTTATACAGAAAAAACAGTAAATTTAGCTTGTATACTTGGCTAAAATTGAAAAACATTTTATTCTTTTGGTCTAAATCTCAAGCAGGAATTTTCAGATAGAAATGAAAGTAAAGTATTTACATCCTCTAAGTTGGCTAACTGTTTAAGTTTGATTCAATGTCATACAGTACAACAGGGAATATAGCTTTGTATAGTTTTATTCCAATTCTCATGCAGATGTTTCAGAAAATAATAAAAATGTGAAATTTGATAATTTGATGAATTCCAGATTGGAGGAAAATGAATTATTTTGGTGCTGGTGACATTTTGACAGATAAAATCATAAAAAAACAATTTTTTGATAAAAACAA